GAGACTTTTCAGCGTTAGTATTTTTAAGTAAAAAGTGTGATCTTGGTTAATTATAATAATTTATTATTGATTATCTTTAATTATCATAAAATATTCGTCTCATATATTTACGAACGGAATCAAACTGTACAATAGCACAGATTGTATCGTGACACTATATTCTTCAAGAACGGTTCAACTGGTACACACGTTGGAATGCAAAAGGAAGAGAAACTGAAGAAGATATTATTATTTAGTGGAAGCTTTCCACGGGAAAATAATAATACTTTCAATGCGAGCGAAAAAAATAATCGAGATGTTGAATTAACTCGTTAACCGAGAACCGCCTCGTATCAATAAGAATAAACATACCATGGAAAGTTACCGATTGACCGGTTTTCAAAGATAATATACAACATAATTGCTAACGAAACGTTCCAATCAACACTACAAGATATACCTTGGAAACTTCAATGACTCATAATTTAGATTAACAAGAACAACCGAATAAAACTACCGGGCAACCGTAAAACCAAAGTATCACAAAATACTGTACAAGCGACGTTTTATATTCTTCCGCCTTGAATTGCGTTATAAATTATACGAGATCCAGGCAGCGTTTTATCGTCGTATAATTAAAACGAAACGATCTCCGCGGAACATCGCGAAACCGCTCGCGGACGGCACGGAAAAATCCGCGGAGCGCGAGCGGTGTTAATCAGCGGATTCTATAGCTTCATTATCGTACCGTAAACACGAGGTCGGAACCGACGTGGTATCCTGAGAGGCAAGTGTCCTGTCGACATAACGGTTCGGATGAAGTCAAAACACTCGAGAAATTTAGCGGTAATTAAGCGCACCAGTTACGTGATCGTTGGACAAAGAAGGCACTCGGTTCCCGAACGACCGCCGATCTCTCTACAATGTGTATCGTTCCTTGCCACTGGAATCTTACGCATGACGACCATTTTATTTATTAGCATGTTTTCCGTCATCGTCGATTTATCTCGCCGGAATACCGCGGATCGGCCGCCGTTGTATGGAAATACTTTCCAGGCATTTTTTGCGTTCTCGGCCGTGCATACTTGCGTTCATGCACGTTCCACCGTGCCGGTCTGCATTCTGTCGCAAATCAGCCGATCTCTGTGACTTTTTCGTCGCGAGACCCATACACTCTCTCGATTTCTTTCTCTCTCTCTCTCTCTCTCTCTCGCAACGTGCGCGTTTCTTTGAACAGTTTTGACTGATTCTTCGATCAACTGCTCGCTGACGCTAATTTCTAGTGATTGAGATTTTTGAGGTTATGTTCGGTGTTGGTGAATCTGTGATTTGAGGTTAGGAACGTTGACTAGAGTGTCTTTGTGATCAGACACACTTGAAATTAATAGAAGTACCAATGATAGTAAGGAAAAGGTTTTGTGGGAATTGGGCTGCTTAATAGGATACTGAGACATACAAAAATTAAATTAAAGCAAATTAGATGAGTTCGTAAGCAATCAATCAAAATGGACCTCACCAGTACAGTACGGTAGAACCTCGATACTTGTAAACGTGTCATTCTTGTTATATTTTTAACTGACACTCTATTGAAAAAGTAAAAGTATATATGAAATGAGAATGTTTACCGTTTAATTACGCGCACAGTAAATAATTTATAATTATGAAGTACGCACGTAATGATGAAGCAAAAAATGCAATTTAAGAGCTCGAAAATGTGAATGTATGTTCTGTGATTATATTATTACAGTGGCTTGAACTCACTACAGAGAGGAAAGATAGCCATAAAAAGAACGAACAGCTTTGTCGCAGTTAAAGAGGTTTAATTGCGGTTACGTCGTGAAGTCTGACCATGGGGCAAGTAGATTCATTACTCTTATGGTCAGACGGAGTGTAATCTGTCCTGGATGAGCGACACGTTCCTCACCTCATTAATTTATCTTGCATTACTGACCGCTTTTTACGGTCTTCGACAATGTTCTTTCATCAGGATACAATTAAGAGATACGTAGCTTTAAAACTCAACAACGCATAACAATTTTTATAAATACTTTAATAATAATCTACATTATTTTCTTCCCTACTTTCCAGTGAAAGAATTCATTGAAACAAACGAACTATTTCGTCAAATCAAGAAATGAAAACTGTCTTAAGGCGCTTCCATTAAACACGAACGTTTCAAAACAACTCACGAGAACAGTTCTTAGACGAAGTTCCTCTGCAACGAAGGGATCAAAAGTTCCTGAACCTATAGAATTTTCCACTCCCAAAGGAGCACATCTGGCGCAGTATTTCCACTCGAAAGAATCGGATATCTAAGCATAAAGCCTTCACGAAGAACTTTTCATTACTATCTCCAATGAAAAGCATTTAATCGAAGAAACTCAGTATACGTCATAAAAATGATCTATTGAAAAATCATTTAACATTCTGTTTAACCATTGCCACCTCCACTATTCTATTCCTCTAACATATTCTTTAAAAAACAAACAAAATATCCTTACACGATCTCTAACCACAGTAATCAACCTTCCATCAGAAAATGTTGAAATTGGAAAATCAAAAATTCAGCATACCACTGACGCAACACGCGTATGCCGGTTACCTAGACACACTCAAGAGAATAAAATCCTCTTACGCAATTGTCGCTCACGAAACTCTTAATTTCCATAAAAACCCTCGGCCCCAGATCGCATTCACAATCCCGATCGGAACTTTTACCGCGAGAGGTGGTGTACGAGAGTCGCGTTGCCCGGCAACGGTGACGGGTGCTCGTCACTGTCATCGCGATCAACGGGCTCTCAAGGTGTGACGGCTGCGAGGTGCGATTCCGTGGGCTGCGCAACAGCTCGGAACACGTCTGTAAATACCTTTTATCCTAAATACCATAAAAAGGTCACGTTCGCGGCGAGCGGACCGTCTAAAGTCAGACGACCGATGGAAGAAGAATAGGGCGACGCGACATTGTTCTCGCGGCGCGTGCACATTCACGGGACGAGGGCGTGCGAGCGAGTGCGCGCGCGTTTTATTCCCTTGTCTCCTGTTTCGGAGAGTGCGACACCAGTTATGTAGGGTATGAATGGTTGATTGTTCGTGCGTGTGGTCCGTGTCGCGTTGCGACTAGGTAGTAGGGTTTGGGAAATGTTTTCCCTTAGAAGCCTCGCAATTTGTCCTGTAAGGACATTTGGTCAATCCTTTCAGCGAGCCGTCGTGAATATATCACGTAGATAGTTCCTCGCTAGAAAGCATCTGTTTGGGAAGTAGGGTGATTGCGTTTCGGGAAATCTTGAGTGGCTGAAGAAATATTAAGGAAGAGTGTTTGGAGCGAGAAGACCGTGAGAATGGAACGATTAGCGCAACGTGTACAGCTGGAAGATGTCTAGCGAAGCAGCATAAGGAAGAGGTGCGTTTCTAGTTCACACTTTTATAGGTTTCATTAGTTACGTGTAACTGTATTAACGAATAGTAAGTTAGTGATCGAAACTGTTAGGAATTAAGAAGTATCCGATATAAAAGTGGGCGAGTAAATATTAATTAAATGAAAAAATTATAAAATCTACACTAAAAGTGCCTAATTCGTTGAACTCTGTTTTGCCCACCTCCGATTCACTGAAGTCTCGCTACTTCTACCATTCACCCTACGCACGTGGATCCAGGGCCCAAAATAAATGAGTTCAATTTCGTCGAGCAAGGAAAACAGTTGTATCCTCTTTTTCCTTTCGTCTGTTCCGCGTCAGCTGCAGCAGGCGGGTGTGCGAAAAAGTGAAGTGACTCCAGTTTCATTTCGTGCTCGGAAATCCCGTTACAAAAGCGTGTCCCGCCCGCGTAAACACAAAGAGAGCGAACGGTTCCGGCGCAACCGGGAAGCGGCTTGTTTATGCAACGCGACGCGTCTTCCTCGCGCCGCTTATGGAATTACGCTCCCTGCGATTATGAACGACGCGGTCCTGCTTTTTGTCTCTATGATCCTCCATCCACCGAGACATCGGTGTAACGAAAAACACGTCGGTTTTTCTGTGCGCGCCTTCCGTTGTCTTCCGCTTTACGATTTTCTATAGAACGCATGATGGAACACGAAGTTTCCGTGAGATGGAAGGATAAACCGAGGCGAATTGGATCGTATAAATCGAATCGGAATAACGATCCAATCATACATTTCCTATATCGCAAATTATATTTCACATTTCGAGTTCCTCGTTTGCGAAAGAAAAAGTAGGAATTCTTTTTAACTTTTTATTATTAACGTTTATGTGTCTTTATTTTCTTAGTGCCGAAGAGAAGTCGATACGATTCGCCTTAGTCTACTCGACGTGCAAGGTTCACGTGATTAATGAAGGGAATTGTTTCATTGGAGAATTATAGGGACGACTGGGAAATTGAAGTTTAATGTACCGTGATATCGGCCGTAAAGTACCGAGTATTGTTTTCGTAAATTGATTCTAGAAGAATCAGGATTTATCTGAATATTCGTTGTATAATACAATTAGGAGTGGATTGATATTTAGAAGTGGGAAAATATGAAGGAATGGGTTCACTTTGTAAACATATCTTCTTGACTTGTTAACTGATAATATACTGTTAATGAGAGTTTCAGTTTCGCCGGCTTTTAATTAGACTTAAGTAATTGGACGGATTTCTATTTTGAATTAAGTAATTCATGACGAACCTAGGAATTAATGGAATTGTTATAGACGAGCCTTATGAGTATTTATGCCAATTCACGATTTAAATGTCTCTTTTATAAGAAGACACGTGCTTTCTCCTCGTCGAATAAATTGATTACACCAACCTGCTTCGAACTGTTACGGTAAGGCAATTGAAAAATGAATAACGCACATTTTATATTCGCAAACATTCCGAAGGTAACACTACGGAATTGACGTTTATTCATACTAATTTATTAGTTAGTACGTTCCAACTTCAAACTCCGGTTATATTTCACGAGCTGTTTCATCTCAAACGACAATTAGCATTACACGAAATTACCGATTATTTCTGATTCTCTATTTCTTATTGGTACTTACAACTAGAATTTATACTCGCACAATACGTGATCTGCACTGTGAAAGCATTCCTTCACTTACCTGAAACAGTCAAGAAGAAGAACGAGTTAATATTAACATTAAAAGAGACATATTTTATTCAATAAAAGTAACCATACAATTCCCATTAATCTATCAATCAGAACAAACATTCCGTCGCGTGTTCAGCATCTATTAACTCAGAGACTGAGCCTCTAATTCCTTTCCAGTCACTTCGACGTACCAAATAAAAAAAAAGCCAGTATAAACAATCGTATGCCACGATACGATGGAAAGTTGACGGGTCTTAGATGAAATTATAATACCCCAGAAAATTTCCTTGCCGACATTCTCCAATTAACGTAACAGGATTTATAACGCTGGCGAGTTCGTAATCGCAGCCGTTTATTCGCTGCAATTCAATTTCGACAGTGTCGATCCCCAGCGACCTCCACGAGGCAACCGGCAAACCGAATGCCACTCACCGGTGACGGACACGGCACGGACACGTTAAGAAATAAAAATAATCGTTTTCATGAGCAATCGATCACGAGCGGCCGGGTAACGACTATCGCGGCGAAGTGATTTGACATTTCCCTCCTGCCCCGCCGGCCGTTCGGCGATCGGCGAGAAAAACGAGACCTCCAGAAAGCCGGTGAATGTAACCTCGAAGGGTCTCAAGGTGGGAACGCCACGGTGCACCCGGGAGAAAATTGGGTCGCGGAACGAGCTAAAACTCTCGGGCATGCGTTACGCGAGACAGAGGCAAAAGAATACCGCGCGACGATCCTCCGGAAGCCCTTGGCGGGTTCGGATCGCGTGAGGAGTCCACCTCGTAACAGGTACAAGGCTCGAAAAAAGACTCCAGAGACGTTTAACCCTCGCGGAGACTCGATCAAGGTCTGGATCCTTTATTGTTGAGTCGGTTCGGACACTTGAGACGACACGAGCCTTCACGCTCATGTTTGATGAGAGAATGAAAATAAATTTCATTTTTACATTCATTTCATTCTTTTTCTCTTTTTGTGGCGAGATATTAAACTTTAATTGCTTCGGGTTTCGGCGAAATATTGGGGGCACGATTTTTGTCAGAAGTGAAATGCTTATGTCGTTTTACGAATTGGAAGAGAAGCGATTAAAGTATTACTGGAAATGTTTGATGGCGCATAGAGCGAGTGGAATGATTTAATTCGTTTGAATTTCGTGAAGCTGAATGTTTATCTGTGTATATGTCCAATGTTTGTTCAATGTTCTGGTCAAATATTGTTAAAATATACATGTTAAATATTTTTTAAATATTCAGATCAAACATTTTTTAAATATTCATACCAAATATTTTTTAAATACGAAATATTTATTAATTCATATTTAATTTTCAATTTACAAATAAAAAGGAAATGCTTGCAGTCTAGTATTTCAAATTAAATGCTATTTAAAAACGCTGTTTACTAAAACAGATTATTCTATTAGTTATTACGAAAATATTCAGACGTAACTCATAAACGTTTCATTGTCAATCAGATGGAAGTTTAATACGTTGAATGCCGCATAATTTCATACGGTAAAATACACAAAATGAAAAAATGATGATATTAAATCATTTGATTGAATTGCATTATTACAATTACACGGTGATCTAGCTGAATGTCACCGTATTAGGTAGCATTATTCGTAATATAGAAATGTTTTCAAATAACCATCGTTTAATTGAGTGAACTATAGTGATTCAATTTAGTTGAGGGTCACCGGTGACCCCCGTAGCGTTCAACCTGTTAATTTAACGTAGGTAACTGAATATTGTAAAGTGCCAAGTTTC